TGATGCACATATGATTTAAAAAGGAGGCAGATACAGCTTATTTTCTGTTGCAAAGATTAAAGGCCATGCAGTGGTCTACACTGTATACATGCACATTATAATAATCTTGCTTCTCCTGGAGCACCACAGCTACTGACCCTTCCCAAGCACACTTTCCACTTAACATTTTCAATAGCTTCTCCTCTGACATGAATGCAGGGAATAGTGTTGCTGGAGAGCTTCTCTCCAGCTTCCACCAAGCCCCACAGTCCCACAATCCATGTATAAAATAATCACTCAGACGCTTATAATACTTATAAACTGTATGGCCGTGGCAGGCTTCTTGCTTTTATCTTAAATTAACCCATTTTTATAAATCTATACCTTGCCACGTGGCTCATGGCTTACCAGAGTCTTTACATGCTGCTTGTCCTGGCGGTGGCTGCAGTGTCTCCCCTCAGTTTTTTTATATGGTGTATTACATTGACTGATTTTTGTATGTTGAACCATCTTTGCATCCCTAGGATGAAGCGTACTTGGTCATGGTGGATAATTTTTTGATGTGTTCCTGGATTCGGTGAGCCAGTATTTTATTGAGTGTTTTTGTAGCAATGTTCATCAGAGAGATTGGTCTGTAATTCTCTTTCTTTGTTGCATTTTTGTATGGTTTGGGTATCAGGGTGACTGTAGCCTCATAAAAGGAATTTGGTAATGTTCTTTCTGTTTCTATTGTGTGGAACAATTTGAAGAGTATTGGTATTAACTCTTCTTTGAATGTCTGGTAGAATTCTGTGCTGAAACCATCTGGTCCTGGGCTTTCAATGACCATTTCTATTTCCTTAGGGGTTATTGGTCTATTTAAATGGTTTATCTGGTCTTGATTTAACTTTGGTATGTGGACCTATCCAGAAAACCATCCATTTCTTTCAGATTTTCCAATTTTGTGGAGTACAGGTTTTTGAAGTATGACCTGATGATTCTCTGGATTTCCTCGTTATCTGTTGTTATATCTCCCTTTTCATTTTTGATTTTGTTAATTTGGATATTCTCTCTCTGCTTTTTGGTTAATTTGGATAAGGGTTTGTCTATCTTGTTGATTTTCTCAAAGAACTAACTCTTTATTTCATTAATTCTTTGTTTTGCTCTCTTTGTTTCTATTTTATTGATTTCATCCCTCAATTTTATTATTTCCTGGCATCTGTTTCTCCTGGGTGAGTTTGCTTCTTCTTGTTCTAGAACTTTCAGGTATGCTGTTTAGTCACTAGTGTGAGATTTCTCCAACTTCTTTATGTAGGCATTTAGAGCTATGAATTTTCCTCTTAGCACTGCTTTCATGGTGTCCCATAAGTTTGGGTATGTTGTACATTCATTTTCATTGAATTCTAGGAAATCTTTAATTTCTTTCTTTCTTTTTTCCTTGACCCATTGGGAATTCAATTGGGCATTATTCAGTTTCCATGAGACTGTAGGCTTTCTGTAATTTTTGTTATTGTTGAAATCTAACTTTAAGCCATGGTGTTTTAATAAGATGCAGGAGGTTATTTCAATTTTTTTGGTATCTCTTGAGATTTGCTTTGTGACCAAGCATGTGGTCGATTTTGGAGAAGGTTCCATGGGGTGCTGAAAAGAAGGTATATTCTTTTGTGTTAGGGTGGAATATTCTGTAAATATCTATTAAGTCCATTTGAGTCATTATGTCTGTTAGTTCCCTTATTTCTCTGTTAAGTTTCTGTCTGGCAGACCTGTCCATTGGTGAGAGTGGGGTGTTGAAATCTCCCACTACTAGTGTATGGGGTTTGATGTGTATTTTAAGCTTTAGTAATGTTTCTTTTATGAATGTAGGTACCCTTGTATTTGGGGCATAAATATTCAGAATTGAAACTTCATCTTTTCTGTGATAAATATGTAATGTCCTTCCCAATCTCTTTCAATGGATTTTAGTTTGAAGTCTATTTCATTAGATATTAGGATAGCTACACCAGCTTGCTTCTTAAATCCATTTGATTGGAAAGTCTTTTCCCAACCTTTTATTCTGAGGTAGTATCTGTCTTTGAAGTTGAGGTGTGTTTCTTGTATGGAGCAAATGGATGGATCTTGTTTTCGTATCCATTCTGTTAGCCTGTGTCTTTTTATAGGTGAATTGAGACCATTGATATTAATGGATATTAATGACCAGTTATTGTTAATTCCTGTTATTTTTTGGTGGTAGTGTTGTGTGTTTCCCTTCTTTGGTATTTGTTGGTGTGGGACTATCTCTTGCCTGTGTTTCATGGGTGTATCTAACTTCCTTAGGTTGGATTTTTCATTCAAGTGCTTTCTGTAGAGTTGGGTTTGTGGAGAGATATTATTTAAATCTTGTTTTATTGTGGAATATTTTGTTTACTCCGTCTATGTTGATTGAGAGTTTTGTTGGGTATAATAGTCTGGGTTGGCATCCGTGGTCTCTTAGTGTCTGCATAACGTCTATCCAGGAACTTCTGGCTTTTAGAGTCTCCATTGAGAAGTCAGGTGTTATTCTTATGGGTCTGCCTTTATATGTAACTTGGCCTTTTTCCTTTGCAGCTCTTAATATTTTTTCTTTATTCTGTATGTTTGGTAGTTTGATTATTATGTGGCAAGGGGAGATGTTTTTTTTTGGTTTTTTTTTTTTTTTTTGATCCAGCCTATTTGGTGTTCTGTAAGCTTCTTGTATCTTTATAGGCATTTCCTTCTTTAGGTTGGGAAAGTTTTCTTCTATGATTTTGTTGAATACATTTTATGTGCCTTTGAGTTGGTATTCTTCCCCTTCTTCTATCCCTATTATTCTTAGGTTTGGTCTTTTCATGGTGTCTCAAATTTCCTGGACATTTTGGGTCATGACTTTGTTGGCTTTATTGTTTTCTTTGACTGATGAATCTATTTCCTCTACTGTATCTTCAACACCAGAGATCCGCTCTTCCATCTCTTGCATTCTGTTGGTTGTGCTTGCATCTGTAGTTCCTGTTGGTTTACTCAGATTTTCCACTTCAAGCATTACCTTAGTTTGTGTCTTCTTTATTGTCTTGATTTCAGAATTCAAATCTTGAGCTGTTTCCCTCATTTGTTTAATTGCTTTCTCTTGGCTTTCAAAAGATTTACTGATTGCTTCCCATTTTTTGTTTGACTTTTCCTCTAATTCTTTAAGGAAATTTTTCATTTCCTCTTTAAAGATCTCTATCATCTTCTTAAGGTCATTTTTAAGGTCGATCTCTTCTTTTTCTTTTGTGTTGGGATGTTCATGTTCTGATGGAGCCAGAGTGGGTTTTTTGTTGTTGTTGACTGTATTTTTGCACTGGCATCTACCCATCTCTTTCTCCACTTGGTGCAAGTGGTGTCTGTGTCTGAGGAAGGCTCTCTGGGTCTGATCAATACTCTTGGTTCAGTGGGAGCTCTTGGTTTAGTCAGTGCTGATGGACTGTTTGTCTCAGGGAGAAGCTCTTATTCCAATTGGCCCTTGTGAGCTCTGTCTCAGGGAGTAGTTGTAATCTTGGTGCGATGGGAGGGGTGGGGCTTGTGGGTTACAAAGTCTGGTGGGGGATGGTGGTAGTCTGACCTGTCTGCAGTAGGTCTGCCTGCCCAACTGGCCTGAAACTGGGACTGCAATGGGTAGTGGTGTAGGGGCACAGGGTTGTGCCCCGGGGCCCAAAGCCTAGGGGCTAGAGTATTCAGGTTTGAGGATAAAGACTCACCTCTTAGTCCAATGGGGTGCTGGAGGTCTCTTTCTCAGGGAACAGTTGCAGTCTCAGAGGGTGGGTGGGATTTGGAGGAGGTGGGGTTTGGGTTACAGGGTCTGGCGGGGGATGGTGGTAGTCTGACCTGTCTGCAGGAAGTCTGCCTGCCCAACTGGCCTGAAACTGGGACTGCAATGGGTAGTGGTGTAGGGGGGCAGGGCTGTGCCCCTGGGCCCAAAGCCTAGGGGCTGGGGTGTTCAGGTTTGAGGATAAAGACTCACCTCTGATATAACTATTTCTAAACACACCACATACATTCCTTCCTTCTCAAATAGGCTCTACTCCGGTTCTCAGATTTGATTGCACATTGGATTCATCTGAGAGCCTGGGTCTCACTCCCAAGATTTTCTGATGGATGCCCCTTGGATCCAGTAGCATGGACACTGGACATTTTCAATGCTCCCAGGTGTTTGGAATGGAATTACTGAAAAAGTAATAGAATAATGATATGGGAAAACCTTCCTCTTTTTACCTTTGAGGGTACATGAGACCTTGACTGTGACTGACCCTAAGAAGGCAAGACAAGTGCAAAAAGGCAGTGACTATGCCTGAAGGTTGAGAGGAGTGGACAGAGACTTAAGAATTCAGGAACAGACTTTGCTGTATTATCATGGGATGCACCCACCCTTCAAACCTAAAAACTATCTGATGAGAAATCAGGAGTAAATGTTTATGTAAATATGCTCCTTCTTACATTTTAATGACAGTGATCATTTGAAACCATGTCTAAAGAAAAGATGGAAATGTTGATAAGATGGCAGCTAAGATAGTAAAAGATTTTTTTTTTTTGTAAGTTACAGACCTATACTAAAAGACTCACTGTTGGAAAGACATCATCATTATCTACCATTTTCAATTTACATATGTATTATTTTAATTTATGTGTATGTGTTTTGTGTATGTCTGTATATGTTAATGCTGGTGAAGACAAGGACAGAAAAGGATGTTGGATTCCCCAGAACTGGAATTATCAGAGGTTGTAGGCTTCCCAACATGGATGCTGGGAACCAAATTTTGGTCCTCTGTAAATATAGTGAGCATTTAGGCAGAACATTTTCTCTTCACCACCCACAATACATATACATCAAAGACCTTTCTAGTGCCTACTCTTGCCATTGGAAAAAAGAGAGAGAAATAAAAGACTTGTTGATGTTCCAAGTGATGTCTAAGTGTCTTCAAAAGTGTCTGCACAGATAGACCCAAAGAAATCCTCCAATTTTATGAGCTCTGCAGAGCAAAGATTGTTAGTACAGTAAGGACTCTCAGTCTAGATAACCTTGATCCATTTTATTATGATAAAAAAGAAAAAAGACAAATTCACATGATGGATGAATAACAACCATAAATATGGAGTGTTTTCAGCTACACACTACTCTGTGTGATTTATATACATTTTAGAAAACATTATTATGTAGAGGTGAATGAAGGTGGTTGTGACATTTGTAGGAAAGTTAAAATTACTTGTACCTTTATGGATACATCTGACACTGAAATCCTAGAGACTGATGTATCTGTTCAGATTCCTTGTACAGTCTAGAGTTGTAGAGAGGTTAGTCCTGGCCCACTGTGAGGAACCTTAGATTCTGAGAAAGGTGACCTCCTTTGGAGTCCCAGCAAAACTCTCCCTTAGTGGCCACTAAATCCTGGTAGTATTTAGAGAGTAGCCAGGGAACACAAAAATTATATATTCACTGTGACTTTAAAGAAAAGAATTCTACTGTGTCACCTTTGGTGCTACAAAAACCTCTGACACTGGTTGAAAAGCAATTGCTCTCTAGAATATTGTTTTCTTTTAAGCAAAAAACTGAAGTGCTTGTTTGGCTCCTAAGAGTTACAGTCAAGTTTCTAATGACCGTTTACCTTAAATTCTAGGACTTTCTAGAATCAAGGAAACAATGATCTCCAGTACTGGCCTTAACTCCTGATGACAAGGAGGCTACAAGGTCTGACTTTTAGATGGCAAAGCATGGAGGGCCCCCTAAAGGATGTGGTCCCTCCCCAAGGCAGTCTTCTTTCTCTAAGCTCCCTAATCCTCCTTACAGACTCAGGAGGCCCCCAAACCAGCACTCCAGCCATGGAGTTCCCACCAGCAGGCAGTAACTGTGAAACAGAGAGTGGCTGATTTCGGTCTCTGGGAGGTCCATTCTTAGGCCACTGGGGCTGAGCCTCCCATCTTGAGGCGATTCCTGATGAAAGTCCCCAGGGCCACCAGGGGGATGCACATGGTAGATGAAGCCACCAGCAAACCGATGACAGCTAATGCATGTGGGGGGTAATCCTTGGTCACCAGCTGCCCCTGGGAGAAGAGACTGAGAATCAGGGGAAGGTCCCCCCTATCAAGTCCAAGAGAACTGTTTACCTAAGGCTTCTATGAAGGGGAAGATGCTGAACAGTGAGAAGAGGACTGTGGTACTCCATTTACCCTGCAATTCACAGCAAGCCTTCAGAGAAACCATGCCCATTTTCTCTATATTCTATAAAGAAAGATAATTTTGACTTTTTCAAATGTATGTGAGAGATTGTATGTGATGCTCTCCAAGAAGAATGCCATAGAAACAATCCTTCTAGTACCTTATTCTGAGGCCCTAAATGTAATGTAACCTTTAGCACAGACTAGAACTTTCTGTGGTGGTAGAAATGCTCTGTATAAACATATCTAGTGTGGCACACTAGAGGGACCAGTACTTCTGGGGAAAGATCCACTGGGATGCCATAGGTGACTCTTACTCTCTCCATGCATCATGGTTAAAAACTCA